CTCGACCAGGCCTCCACCCCCAGGAAGCAGCCCGTGACAGCTGACTAACACCCAATTACCTATTTTACTGCTTGGTAACAGGGGCATAGGGTGAAAGAAACTCTGCCCATTGTTTCTCGCCGGCGCCTGGGATCGAACCCAGGACCACAGGATCACAAGTCCAGCGTGCTGTCCGCTCGGCCGACCGGCTCCCTGCATGGGCATGTTTTCAATTTCTCTTTCAAAGTCTAGTACGCTCGTGTTGATATCAGTTATATTTACAGGGGTTTGGATATCCCGCATAAAGAAATTGTCTGGATCTTCCACTTTCATGTTGTTTATTGGAGTGCTAAACATGTCCTCATACTCTTTTTTTAGGATTTCACTAATTTCGTTGTCATCCTCCGCGTATGAACCTTCACTTGTACGAATTGGTCCAATACTGGCAGTGGGTTTGGCTTTTGATTTCGCATATGTGAAGAAGTATTTTGGATTTTTCTTTATTTCCTGAATTGCTTTCTGTTCTAACTGCCTTTCTTCAGTTTGATATGAGTGTTTCAATTTCCGCTCGATTTCTTCAATCTCCCCATTTAAATTATTCCTTCTTTGACGGGAAATTCGTGTCTGAATAAGCATTTCCGCTCTTTTTCCTTCTTTTATAGTGTCGTCTGCGTTCTCTTTCTACGTTGGATCTCTTTCTGGCTTTCCTCAAAGGAACATGTTTCAGACAGACTTGATACGCTTCCGAAGACAGTTTTTCTATTCCTTCTGTAGGACTTGTATTACTTGCTGACACCATGGAACATGCTGACACCATCCAGAAACTGTGAACAGTTTCCCATGGAATGTTTGTAAGTTCCCTGTTTATTTTTCCCAGTCAATCCTTTTATTATTAAAATTGAATTTACTGAATTGCCCCTCTCGCTTTATCAACGTTTTAGGTCTATTCTGAGTATTGATGGTCGTTTGCACTTCAATGAGCTTGTGATCTGTGTATATGGTATCTGATATCGTAATGTCCCTGATAATGTCTTTACTGTTCGTAAAGACCAGATCTAGAATATTTTCATTTCCCATTGGCTCCGATATCTGCTGGTTCAGTGAAAATTTGTCACCGAATCGAAGTAATTCTCTAATCTGTGGTTGGTTAAGTCCCGATAGATTTCCTGGTATAATATTATTGTTTGCTATTCTCCATCTGAGACTTGGCAAGTTGAAGTCACCTAAGAAGATAATATCAGGTATGGGGTTCTCCATGTTATCAAGGCTATTATCTATTTTGTTTATCTGTTCTATGAATTCCTCGACCGTTGCATCTGGCGGTTTGTATATTAGAATAATCACTAAGTTTATTTTCTCTATTTTTAATTCCACTACCTCTAGCACCTCATTTGTAACGTTAAGAAGCTCCGAGCATGCAAGGTCTTCCATAATATACAGACCCACTCCTCCATGTGACCTAGTTTTCCTATCACACCTGTATAGGTTATATCCTGGAATCCAGACCTCACAGTCTAAGAATTCCCCTGCATGGATGTCTGTGAAAGCTCCAAATACTGTATTTGACTCCGTGAGGAGGCCATTTATGAACTGTACTTTGTTGTTTGTTCTTGTTTTTAGTCCATGTAAGTTGGAAAATATGAATGAGGTTACTCTATTAGTGATAGTTTGACTGGGAGACTTGAGTGTGAGTTGCTAGGAAAGGACACTGTGGGTTGCTAAGACAGGCAAGTGTGGGTTGCTATGAAAGGTGAGTGTGGGGTTGCTAAGACAGGCGAGTGTGGGTTGCTAGGACAGGCAAATGTGGGTTGCTAGGACACGTGAGTGTCAGTTGCTAGAACAGGGGAGTGTGGGTTGCTAGAAGAGGTGAGTGTGGGTTGCTAGGACAGGCAAATGTGGGTTGCTAGGACAGGTGAGTGTCAGTTGCTAGGACAGGCGAGTGTTGGTTGCTGGACAGGTGAGTGTGGGTTGATAGAACACGTGAGTGTGGGTTGCTAGGACAGGGAAATGTGGGTTGCTAGGACAGGCGAGTGTGGGATGCTAGGACAGGTGAGTGTGGGATGCTAGGACAGGTGAGTGTGGGATGCTAGGACAGGTGAGTGTGGGTTGCTAGGACAGGTGAGTGTGGGATGCTAGGACAGGTGAGTGTGGGATGCTAGGACAGGTGAGTGTGGGATGCTAGGACAGGTGAGTGTGGGTTGCTAGGACAGGTGAGTGTGGGATGCTAGGACAGGTGAGTGTGGGATGCTAGGACAGGTGAGTGTGGGATGCTAGGACTGGTGAGTGTGGGATGCTAGGACAGGTGAGTGTGGGTGGCTAGGACAGGTGAATGTGGGATGCTAGGGCAGGTGAATGTGGGATGCTAGGACATGTGAGTGTGGGATGCTAGGACAGGTGAGTGTGGGATGCTAGGACAGGTGAGTGTGGGATGCTAGGACAGGTGAGTGTGGGATGCTAGGACAGGTGAGTGTGGGATGCTAGGACTGGTGATTGTGGGATGGTAGGACAGGTGAGTGTGGGTGGCTAGGACAGGTGAGTGTGGGTTGCTAGGACTGGCGAGTGTGGGATGCTAGGACAGGTGAGTGTAGGATGCTAGGACAGGTGAATGTGGGATGCTAGGACAGGTGAGTGTGGGATGCTAGGACAGGTGAATGTGGGATGCTAGGACAGGTGAGTGTGGGATGCTAGGACAGGTGAGTGTGGGATGCTAGGGCAGGTGAGTGTGGGATGCTAGGACAGGTGAGTGTGGGATGCTAGGACAGGTGAGTGTGGGATGCTGGGACAGGTGAGTGTGGGATGCTAGGACAGGTGAGTGTGGGATGCTAGGACAGGTGAGTGTGGGATGCTAGGACAGGTGAGTGTGGGATGCTAGGACAGGTGAATGTGGGATGCTAGGACAGGTGAGTGTGGGATGCTAGGACAGGTGAATGTGGGATGCTAGGACAGGTGAGTGTGGGATGCTAGGACAGGTGAGTGTGGGATGCTAGGACAGGTGAGTGTGGGATGCTAGGACAGGTGAGTGTGGGTGGCTAGGACAGGTGAGTGTGGGATGCTAGGACAGGTGAGTGTGGGTGGCTAGGACAGGTGAGTGTGAGTTGCTAGGACAGGTGTGTGGGATGCTAGGACAGGTGAGTGTGGGATGCTAGGGTAGGCGAGTGTGTGGTGTAGGAACATGTAAACAATGCCGATTGTTTTCATGACTTGTCTGATCCCACGCATTAATTTTTGTATAGGACTCTAAATTAATCAAATTTTATTTAACGAAAAGAAAGCAAAATAAGCAGGATTTGGTGATCGAGTTACATAACTTATTAAAATATTTAATATAGGACTATAACACCAAACATGAATGTATCCGGCTGACTTACTGTTTAGCAAAGTTATCTTGAGAGGATTTCGGGGCTTAGTGTCCCTGCGGCCCGGTCCTCGACCAGGCCTCGTTTTTGTCACACATCCCCAGGAAGCCGCCCGTAGCAGCTGTTTAACTCCCAGGTACCTATTTATTGCTTGGTGAACAGTTGCATCAGGATGAAAGAAACTCTGCCCATTTATTTCAACCTCCACCGGGGATCGAACCCGGAACCTCAGGACTTCGAATCCGAAGCGCTGTCTACTCATCTGTCCGGCCCGACGAGTTGTCAGGTTGAAAACATGAATGTGTTGTCTGATTGACAAAATGAATGTGTTATCAGGTTATGTTAAGTGTGTTGAATGTGTTGTCAGGTTGACAACACATTCTGAACATCTTGCGTGTTAGCTGCTCCGCCTCTTTCATTAACAATACATTTATTTGTCTTAGTTGTTATTCTTTAGCACATTTTGTAGAAGTTGAAGGAAACATTTTTATGTAGAATCAGTACAACTCCCAAGTGGCAGCAGACTTTCCTGAGTGTCTCTGTTGTTCACACATTAATAACAGCAGAACACTGGTCTCGCACTGAAATATGTTATATTTTGTCTATTTGTATTGAAACATAACAGTTGCCCTTACCTCATCAGCAACAGCCTTCTTTATTAACCTTGAGATAACCAAGATGGTATTGTTCACCATCGTTTTGATACTTATGTTACAAAACTACCACCACCTTTACTTCCGGGCTCGAATGTCATCTGACTTGTTTACTCCTTTATCTTCCTGCCTCTTCAATCATATTTTCTTAGCAGAATGAGCAAGCCCATTAAATTTCCATGATCAATCAGAGAACCATCGGGTGTTCAGGTCGACTCGGCCTGGCCATTGACTCCCAGTACTGCCAACTGGACTTCTAGTTCTGCCCTTGGGAACCCAATACACAATTATCCGATTGTAAGGGAAAATGGTCTTGATTAAATGGATTCCATAAATTAGTTAGCTATAATAGGATTAATATATCCAAGTGTCATTCCGAATTACTGATAATAGTAGTGAGCGCCCCCAATAAGTAATTTTAGTGTGAAGAGGTCGATCGAAACTACAAAGTTATTCTTCTGTGATTGAACTTTGACTTTAGCATTTTTATGAACTATATTAAACCCATTTTTTAATTGATAAAGGTTTTTGGGTATTGCTTGTTTTAAGTTCTTTTTATTAATTTGTAATAATTTAAAACTGTCTAATCTTTGTACAATTTTCGTAAACATATATTAGATTAGTTTATATGCACTAAGAAATCACATCAACGTGATGAATCCATGAGAAAATTAGTAGCAGTCGTGCGGAGGATTCGAATCTATGCTCTGGGCAAAGAGTTTGCTAGAGAGTACCTAGAGAGGAGGTTCGAATCCTCCTCACAGCTCGTACTGATTTTCTCATTAGTTTATATCATATTTTTTTTATTTAAGTATATGTTATAGTCACATTGTCTGCTTTATTATATCAATATTGTTTTACATAAATATATTCCTCATTATTGTAATAGCTAATGTTATATTATCCTTGATAAGGAAGAGGCACATTATAACTGAGAGTTATCATATCTTTATGTCTATCTTCTATACTTTACATTTTACTTCTGCCCAAATGTATCTTCTTGACGTCTCAGGACTGACGCCACTGTTGGCTGCCATTGAGAGGAACGACACGTCGCTGGCCAGGGACCTTCTGCAGCAGGGAGCGACCACTAACTACAGTAGCAGCACAGGAGGTTCCTGGTTGATACCTGGTTGATGGGGTTCTGGGAGTTCTTCTACTCCCCAAGCCCGGCCCGAGGCCAGGCTTGACTTGTGAGAGTTTGGTCCACCAGGCTGTTGCTTGGAGCGGCCCGCAGGGCCACATACCCACCACAGCCCGGTTGGACCGGCACTCCTTGGAGGAAAAAATCTAGTTTCCTCTTGAAAATGTCCACGGTTGTTCCAGCAATATTTCTTATGCTTGCTGGGAGGGTGTTGAACAACCGGGGACATCTGATGTTTATACAGTGTTCTCTGATTGTGCCTATGGCACCTCTGCTCTTCACTGGTTCTATTCTGCATTTTCTTCCATATCGTTCACTCCAGTACGTTGTTATTTTACTGTGTAGATTTGGTACTTGGCCCTTCAGTATCTTCTAGGTGTATATTATTTGATATCTCTCTCGTCTTCTTTCTAGTGAGTACATTTGGAGGGCTTTGAGACGATCCCAATAATTTAGGTGCTTTATCGCGTCTATGCGTGCCGCATATGTTCTCTGTATTCCCTCTAGTTCAGCAATCTCTCCTGCTCTGAAGGGGGAAGTGAATACTGAGCAGTACTCAAGACGGGACAACACAAGTGACTTGAAAAGTACAACCATTGTGAAGGGGTCCCTGGATTTGAAAGCTCTCGTAATCCATCCTATCATCTTTCTGGCTGTCACAATATTTGCTTGGTTATGCTCCTTAAACGTTAGGTCGTCAGACATTATTATTCCCTAATCCTTTACATGCTGTTTTCCTACTATAGGTACATTTGATTGTGTTTTGTACTCTGTATTATGTTTAAGGTCCTCATTTTTGCCGTACCTGAGTACCTGGAATTTACCACTGTTAAACATCATGTTATTTTCTGATACCCAGTCGAAAACTTTATTAATATCAGCTTGAAGTTTTTCAATGTCTTCAGCCGGGATAATTTCCATACTGATTTTTGTGTCATCTGCAAAGGATGATACGAAGCTGTGACTTGTATTTTTGTCTATATCTGATATGAGAATAAGGAAAAGCAGCGGTGCAAGGACTGTACCCTGAGGTACAGAACTTTTAACTTCACTTGGACTAGATTTTATATGGTTGACCGTTACTCGCTGAGTCCTGTTTGAAAGAAAACTGAGTATCCAGCGTCCTACTTTACCGGTTATTCCCATTGACTTCATTTTGTGTGCTATCACGCCATGGTCACATTTATCGAAAGCCTTTGCGAAGTCCATGTATATCATATCAGCATTCTGTTTTTCTTCTAATGCCTCGGTGACTTTGTCGTAGTGTTCAAGTAGCTGTGAGAGGCACGATCTTCCCGCTCGAAATCCATGTTGGCCTGGGTTGTTAAGGTCATTGGTCTCCATGAAATTTGTGACCTGACTCCTAATCACTCTCTCAAATACTTTTATGATGTGCAACGTTAGTGCAACTGGTCTATAATTCTTTGCCAATGCTTTGCTCCCTCTCTTGTGTAGGGCGCTATGTCTGCTACTTTAAGTGCATCTGGTATCTCCCCCGTGTCCAACCTCTTCCTCCACATTATACTGAGTGCCTGTGCTACCGGCACTTTGCATTTCTTTATAAATATTGAATTCCATGAGTCTGGACCTGGGGCCGAGTGCATGGGCATGTTTTCAATTTCTCTTTCAAAATTTAGTGCGCTCGTGTTGATATCAGTTATATTTACAGGGGTTTGAATATCCCGCATAAAGAAATTGTCTGGATCTTCCACTTTCATGTTGTTTATTGAAGTGCTAAACATTTCCTCATACTGCTTTTTTAGGATTTCACTAATTTCTTTGTCATCCTCCGTGTATGAACCTTCACTTGTACGAATAGGTCCAATCTGTTCTAACTGCCTTTCTTCAGTTTTATATGAGTGTTTCAATTTCCTCTCGATTTCTTCAATCTCCCTATTTAAATTGTTCCTTCTTTGACGGGAAATTCATGTCTGCATAAGCAGTTCCGTTATTTTTTTCCTTCTTTGACGGGAAATTCATGTCTGCATAAGCAGTTCCGTTATTTTTTTCCTTCTTTTATAGTGTCGTCTGCGTTCTCTTTCTACGTTGGATCTCTTTCTGGCTTTCCTCAAAGGAACATGTTTCAGACAGACTTGATACGCTTCCGAAGTCAGTTTTTCTATTCCTTCTGTAGGACTTATATTACTTAGAACAGTTTCCCATGGAATGTTTGTAAGTTCCCTGTTTATTATCTCCCAGTCTATCCTTTTATTATTAAAATTGAATTTACTTAATAGCCCCTCTCGCTCTATCAACGTTTTAGGTCTATTCTGAGTATTGATGGTCGTTTGCACTTCAATGAGCTTGTGATCTGAGTATGTGGTATCTGATATCGTAATGTCTCTGATAATGTCTTCATTGTTCGTAAAGACCAGATCTAGAATATTTTAATTTCTCGTTGGCTCCGATATCTGCTGATTGAGTGAAAATTTGTCACAGAATCTAAGTAGTTCTCTAATCTGTGGTTGGTTAAGTCCCGATAGATTTCCTGGTATGATATTATTGTTTGCTATTCTCCACCTGAGACTAGGCAAGTTGAAGTCACCTAGGAAGATAATATCAGGTATCGGGTTCTCCAAATTATCAAGGCTATTCTCTATTTTGTATTTTTAGATTTGTTGCCTGTAATAATTATCCACATTCAGCAATCCTTGAAGATTTTGTATATGTAAAGACTAATATATCTGTGGTTTATACGCCCGCAGATTGCACTAATATCTTGATAGAAAATAATTTGTATAATCTCATGGGAAAAGGGTTCAACGTTTCATTCATAAATGTCCTAATTATTTATATTTTTGTAGGATATCTTAAACAAGTGTTGTAATTGCAGATTTACCACTTATCGAGGCTATAAATCGAGGCAATAGAGATATGATTATGTTGTTGGTGAACGAAGGAGCAAATGTGAACGCAGTCGACAGTAGAGGTAAGTAGAGGAATGCCACGGGCTCATACCCACAACTAAGAGCGGGTCTCGATAAGTTATCCTGTACTCAGTTTTCTATGAAGCTTCCCAGACATTCATAATAGACACAGTAGTTCAAACAGGGGCAACACTAAAGCGGTCTTCGACAAAGATAATTGTTCTAATTATTCTAGAAGATTGGCCAATGATACCTGCCGTCTATTGTAACGCCCTCCGGATAGGTATATAATTCAGCATAACAGCCTACAAAAATCTACAATGTTGTCTTCCAGACACAGCACAGTAGTTATTTGTGTCAAAACTACTTGAAGTGGGTTGTCCAGCAAAGGGGGTCTCCCTCACTATTTTCTGTGTTCTCACATGTTGCTCCAGTACTACACAGCACCGCCAGTCTCTTTGGCGTTTCTCCTTTTTTTTCCTTAAATATTGACCATTGTTTGCAGGTCACAAATTGTCTAAAGTCACCATAACTCCAAGTCCTAGGAATAACACTAAGTCCAAGGCATAACCCCAAGTCCAAGGCATAACCCCAAGTCCAACGCATAACCCCCAAGACCTAGGCATAACCCCAAGTCGCTAGCATTTCCCCAGGTCCTTCTAATAACCGCAAGTCCCCGGTATACCCCTAAACACCCGGAATAACACCAATTTCCTGCCTTAACCTCAAGACCGTGGCACAGTAAGAAGTCAAAAGAATGGTTTAAAACCTCAAGAGTAGTTGCTAAGCCCCTAACACATCCCCAGGTCGGTCAATGTGGGAAGCTTGGAGTTTCAGGGGAGGAAAGTTACTGCTGTCTTCGAGAGGATGGAACCTCCAAGTAGTACTAAAGACACCTCCAATTATACCTATTAAAGAAAATTATTGGGTGCCCAATGTTTGTGCTGTAGCTGTTATATAAAGGTAATATAACTGTTATGTTTGGGTGATGTGACTGTCATACATAGGTGATGTAGCTATTATATATGGGTACTGGAGGTGATCATTATGGGTACTGAAGTTATCTAATATGGGTACAGTAGGTCATCATAATGGGTGCTAAAGGGGTCCAATATGGAGGCAGTAGGTTACAATCTGGATACAGTAGGTTGCCCATATGGCAGCAGAAGGTGTCCAATATATTAGAAGTAGGTGGCAATATGAGTGCTGAAGGTGTCCAATACCGGTACAGTAAGTGTCCAATATGGGTGCATTAAGTTTCCAATATAGGTGCAGTGTCCAATATGAGTGCAGTAAGTGTCCAATATGGGTGCATTAAGTTTCCACAAGTCCAATATGGGTTCAGTAAGCTTCCAATAAGAGTGCGGTAAGTATCCAATATAGGTGTACATAGTGTCCAATATGGTGCAGCAAGCCTCCAAATATGCGTGCACAAAGTGTCAAATATCGGTGCAGTAAGTGTCCAATATTGGGGTTCAATAAGTGGCCAATTTGGGTGCAGTAAGTGTCCAATATGGGTGCAGTAAGTGTCCAATATTGGGGTTCAGTAAGTAGCCAATTTGGGTGCAGTAAGTGTCCAATATGGGTGCAGTAAGTGTCCAATATCGGTGCAGTAAGTGTCCAATATTGGGGTCAGCAAGTGGCCAATTTGGGTGCAGTAAGTGTACAATATGGGTGCAGTAAGTGTCAAATATCGGTGCAGTAAGTGTCCAATATTGGGGTTCAATAAGTGGCCAATTTGGGTGCAGTAAGTGTCCAATATCGGTGCAGTAAGTGTCCTATATGGGAGCAGTAAGTGTCCAATATCGGTGCAGTAAGTATCCAATATGGGTGCACAAAGGGTCTAATATGGCTTCAGTAAGTGTCCAATATGGGTGCACAAAGTGTCCAAAATGGGTGCAGTAAGTGCCCACGATTTCTGCATTTCAAACAACATTTAGTATTTATTGGTTATCTTTCTCGAACATTTACCAATAATATGTTGATCAATCCTTTAACAGAAGGTACTATTTTCTTGTTCATTTTAACATTACAGGCATGATTTCTCTCCTGGCCGCCATCGCTACAAAAAACTTAGAAGTGCTCAGGACTCTCCTGGATGCTGGAGCAAACATAAACATCATAAGTGGAAGAAGTGAGAGACACTTGTGTTCTTCTCGTTGAGGCTCAAACCTTAGTTTGTGGCAAGCTAGCTGAGAGTGAACTATTCCTAAGCTTCCAAAATATGTGAAATCTGGCAATTATGACGCCTCTCTAGTGAGGCATATATATTCAATATATATATATATATATATATATATATATATATATATATATATATATATATATATATATATATATATATATATATATATATATATATATATATATATATATATATATATATATATAATATATATATATATATATATATATATATATATATATATGTATATATATATATATATATATTAGTATATTTTGGTAGCAGTCTTTCCTGTAGACATATATTATTAAATATGACCGAAAAAGTAAGATTAATAATTATAACACGAATTTTCTCAATCTTTCGTACATTACGCTTCACTGTTGGAGGTAAATCAAAAATTAATTCTCCAAAATTCATTTTTATTTCTAGTCTGACGCGACACGGGCGCGTTTCGTAAAACTTATTACATTTTCAAAGACTTTAAGTTCACAAATACACAACTGAATAGAACTTACGTATCTCCGATTTTATATCTACATTTGAGTGAGGTGGGAGGGGTGATGTGGCATTAACACAAGACAGAACAAGAGGGAATATTAATAGGGTATTAAAAGTATCAACACAAGACAGAACACAAACAATGGGTATTGAATAGAAGTGTTTGGAGAAACACGTGGTCCATGCCTCATGCACACACTTGCCTATATATATATATATATATATATATATATATATATATATATATATATATATATATATATATGGGAGTACGTGGTCCATATATACACACTTGCCTATATATATATATATATATATATATATATATATATATATATATATATATATATATATATATATATATATATATATATGTATATATATGTATATATATGTATATATATATATTAGTATATTTTGGTAGCAGTGTTTCTTGTAAACATTTTTCCTTTACAGGAATAGTTGAGTATGACCGAAAGGGTAAGATTAATAATTCTAACCTGAATCTTCTCAATATTTCTTACGTTCTTCTTCACCGTCGAGGGTAATTGATAAACTAACTCTCCAAAATTTTTATTTTTTTTTTGGTCTTGACGCCTGAACGTGTTTCGTAATGCTTATAACCTCTAATAAGCGTCAATAGGCGAATTGAAAACGAAGGTAAGCAGATTGATTGAAACTGTGAACGCGAAGAAATCCGGACTCTACCTGCCAAAGGTTATTGTGGAATACAAACTTGGTTATGCATATGTGAATGTCAAGACCCACAAGCACTGAAACCCACTTCGGCCAATCATCATCCAGACACCGACACCCACATACAGACTGGCTAAGCGACTCAACTGCTTGCTGACTCCTTATGTACCTTGTGGTTTCAGCTTGAGGTCTCCAAAGGAATTTGTTGACCTACTGTGGGGAGCATGGGCCACGTGGATAAGAGCCTCGTTGGATGTAGAGTCACTTTTTACCAACGTACCTGTGGATGAAACAATCGGGATGATAGTGGACAGAGTGTATCATGATCTGGCTTGTACTCCTCTTGACATACCAGAAAACATTCTAAGGAAGCTACTCCAAGCTTACACTAAAGAGGCACCCTTCTTGAGCCCGGATGGGCACATGTATAAGCAAGAAGATGGGGTAGCCTTTGGTTCTCCTTTAGGTGTCCTGTTTGCAAACTTCTACATGAGTACCCTGAGCAGAGGGTCTTAGTTGACATGGACTTGAAACCTGTTATATACTCTAGGTATGTTGATGACATTTTTATGCAGGTACCTGATGTCAGACGTCTGCAGCAGATGAAGGAGGCATTCGAGCAGAATTCTGTGTTAAGTTTCACTTATGAGATGGAGAATGATGGGAAGCTCTCCTTTCTAGATGTAACACTCGCAGAAAAGAACGGAGGCTACCACACTGCAGTCTACAATATGGAAACAAACATAGGAATGTGCCTCAACGCCAATAGTGACTGCTCAGACAGAAACAAGAGGAGTGTGGTCAATGCTTACGTCGACCAGGCTCTCAGTCATAGCTCAGGATGGAAGTAAGTCGATGAAGAGCTTTGTAGGGTAAGGCAGGTCCTAGTCAACAACGGCTTCTCTAACGGTTATGTTGAAGATGTCATAAAAAGAAATGTGAAACGCCATGCAACCTTTGAAGAGTCAACCAGCACAACACTTGTCCCCGTATTAGGCTGTTTAACAGGAACTTCTTTTCGACTGCTTATAACATGGAGGAAAGAAAACTCATTGATAGAAACGTTATCTCTAAAGATAAAAATCAGATAATACAATTGACAATTTACTACAAAAGCAAAAAAACAGTCAAACTACTCATGAAAAACGGCTCAGACATCAAAGAGAACGCCTTGAAGGAAACCAATGTCGCTATTCCTTCTCATGCCCGTTTGGGAACTGTAAGCCCCTAAGAACTTAGTATATAGGCAAGACAACAATGTCTCTTTCTAGGAGATTAACAATGCACAAACAACAGGGCTCCATCAAGGAACATATAATCTCTTCTCACAACCAGACCACCACCAGTGAAATCTTAACAATCAACACATATATATATATATATATATATATATATATATATATATATATATATATATATATATATATATATATATATATATATATATATATATTGTGACGATAATCTCTTTCAAGAGAGATTGAGCCTGCTCTTCCCTATATCATTTACGTCATTCTACAAGTACAAGATGCTATATTAAAGATACGTCCACCAGTATCACAAAACGTTTTGCCCAGGAAGCAAAGCGTACCTTGCACCACCCGACACGCCGGCTCTCCACCCGTCGTCAACGAGCAAACTACCCATTCTCCGCCTGCCTGCTCCTGATTGGCTGGTGTATCGCCGACAGCACACCTGCACCTGCACTCACGCCCTCTACCTGAGTCGACGTCTGGGCCAGCTCACGCCGTCCTCCTCAGAATATCTCTGTGCTCTTAGAAGTTGACATCTCTCTCTGGTATACTAAGCCCTGGCTGTCGTGTACTAAGGGAGGTGGCAGCTCTAGCCAATATTCTCAGCACCTGATTATTATTATTGTCTTGCACATTATTTTATATTAGAGTAAATTTTCACATCTATTAATTATTCATGTTGTTTTGTTTGTTGACTTGTTTTGAATTTTACGTAAGCCAAGGGATTGTCTTTGTTCATATCTTGTTTTCTAAAGTAATTAAAATTTCATTGTTTATATTTTGTGTTTTGCGTGTCTTCCCATTACCTTACCACAGACAAACAGGCAAGCAGTCTCTTTTTTTTCTGTAAGTGTGACAAGGCATTGACACCTGCCATTGGAGGACTGCCGAACATCAACACTCCAACACTTTACCGTCACATTTCATGGGGGCCTGTCCAAGGAGCTTCACTCAGGTACTAGTACCAGAACGTAAATTTGTGGTAAGCGTACTTGGCTTTGGTACAGTTGCTTTTCACTATTTTCAATATTCAATTTTATTTTCATATGGTGCTGTGTGTATTGTGCATTCCGAGAGTAGCATATGGTGAGTGTGAGACAACTTTGGATTACGTGGTGACTGTAGGCCTCAGTCATTCTCTTAATTGGTCATCTCTCCCTCCGTGTTATTACTCGTGTTTACCATCTTTTGTCCCTAGGATATTTCTCATATTTTCGGCAGATCATCATATTGGTACCCTGGTACTGTGGTCTGTCCCCGGGTCAAGAGCACCTAATCTTCTGCAATCCGACTGTAGGAGGATAAAGAGGGCCATAGTTCCTCTAGCACGAACTTTGTTGCTGAATTGGGACCTCAGCAGCAGTTCTCGTCACCAGTTGACACCTCGCACCCCTACACGTCGGTCAGAGATGATGATATTTACTTAGGTAGGGAATTAGCTTTCTTTTTTCAGAGCACAAAAGTTCGCTAATTCTGTAAGTATCATATTTCATTTCAGTGGGAAAAACTTGCTTATGTCCTATAGAGACTCGGCAAGGTATGCCTACATTCTTGGACTACCTAATTCACTTTTGAGGCAATTAAATGTTTCATTTGTTTTAGAAACTCAGTTTCGCTTACTTAGTAGGATTTTCTTGCCCTTATCCTCTTACATTGAGTACCGGGTACAAGATTTCCTGCGATCTTGATTTATTAATCATTTACCATCTTGAAATTAACATTAATTGTTAACGATTCCACAGGATAGGTACCAGTTGCCACGTTGTCCTGTTTCTGACATTCACCATATCACAACAGTATATTCGTTGTACATTTATTTGCTAATTTCACCATGTTTCGTCTCCAAGCTTTCCGTGCAGATCCAGCAGGTGAAATAGGGAACTTAAATCGTGCCAAGAGGACTGAATTACAAACTCTTGCACATGAGTATCAACTAGATGTTCCCCATGGAGCCAACAAAAATGAACTGCATAACCTGTTACTGGATTATCTCTTAGAGGAAGGTAAGATTGACTCTGAAACTCACGAAACTTACTCTATTGCAGATAAACCTGATTTGGCAGCTTTGAAACTCAAACTAGAACTTGCCAAGATCGAGAGAGAGCAACAAAGGAAAGCAGCTGCAATACGAAAGGAAGAAAAGGAACGAGAAGCGACCCTGGCAAAAGAAGCCCTACAGATAAAGGAACGTGAAATCGCCCTCAAGGAACGAGAAGCTGCCTTGAGGAAAGAAGAACAAGAACGTGAGATTGCAATACTCCGTGAGCGTGAGCGAGTACAGCTTGAAGCAAAACATCGTCACCTGGAGATGCAACGCGAGCATGACAAACAACAAGCAGCTCTGGCTATGGAATGTCGTCAACAAGAATTCGCGTTGGAAACTACGCACCTCACTCAACGCCAGCAAGCTACCGCCAGTCTTCCAGTAAGTTTCAATATCTCCCATGCAAGTAAGTTAATGCCACCATTCGTAGAGACAGAAGTCGACGTATTTTTTAC